AAAAAGACCGAAAAGAGTAAATATTCCAAATGTAATGGGCAATTTTTTCCAACGTTAATTATCTTATTATTATATAGACATGAGTGTTTTACCGGAAAATACGCCACTCGTATTTTTCGTTTATTTTCGTATTTTTCTTTGTGGATTTGTCTATATAATAAAAAGAAAATTACACGTTGGCTTGAAGATATACGAAGCTTATCTTCTCGTGTTGAAAAATCTCAAACATAAACTTCATATCTTCGCTCCACCGTGTAATATCCTCTATTTTTACCATCGCTAAAATGTGACCAATTTGAAATTAGTTTTTAATTCTTTTAAAGTAATAATTATTATAATTACGGTGACGGTGACGGCAACAATAATATTAAACTTTATTAGCGTCTCAAAGTCCTCTAGCTGGACGCAAGTACAGCATGTTACCTTAGTGCAGTTTTCGTATGACTGTGAAAAGCTCAGTGCCGTAAGCGTGACGTGCCGTGACCGTGATGCTTTCTAGAATTTCAATTGGCTAATTTTAATTTCAATTTTTCACGCGCAATATGATTGGTCTAAAAGTGCCGTGCTCTTGGAGTGACCGTGTCCGCGCCGTGTTTATGCCGTGTTCCGGGTATTTGATTGGATGGAGAGTAAATCTCTTGCAATGTGATTTTGTCTGGCGTATCCCTTGCCGTGTCATGGCCGTGTTCGTGCCGTGAATTTTTCACAGTCATACGAAAATTGCACTATTGGTGGATGCGTGCAAGACCAAATAGAGCGTTTTCACGTGACGTCACAGCGGCCATTATGGGGTACCAACGTTTTCTATCCTCCGGGAATTGAACTCTATTTTTATGCAAATACTATGCAGAAAGTTTCTATTGTTTATGGCTGCCTTCTCACGTGAGTGAAAACGCTCTATATTTTGTTAAAGTCAACCAAAATGGGAACTTTGACGTTAAATGCACGCCGAGAATATTGAACGACTCATACAAACCTTAGAAATAAAAATTCTGGTTTCTCTTTCAGTATGTGATTGCGTTCACAGTCATGGAATATGTAGAGATGGTACCTGTGTCTGTCATATGTCCTATTATGGGCCAAGATGTGAATATGAATGTAATGTTCTTTTTTTTTTTATTTTATTTTATTTTATTTTATTTTTTTTTTTTGATTTTATAACCAAAACAAAAATCAATCACAAACATCAAACTAAACAAACGCATCCACTAAACTAACACAAATGAATAATGACAAATACCTCTATTAATTTATTCTGATCCTTCGGTGGAATTGATTTTGCTTCAAAAGCTCGCGCGCAAGCATCCATTAACTGCTGATTATTTTAAAAAAAAGCTCGGGACACCTCATTTTTATTTTCATGTTTACGGAATCAGCATTGAATTTTACTTTAAGGAATAGTATTTTGAAAAACTCCCTTTAGAGTGAAGAAAAGACTGGAGAAGAGACACAGGTTGACCGTTGTTTGATAGGCTGTTTACCACAGGAAGCCCGCGAAAACGACACTGATTGTTTGATATCCCGCTCTTTTCTTACCATTAGCAAACGAATCTCTTGAAGCAACAAAATAGATTGGTTTTGATGGTTTTTTATTTTTATCGGTATAATAACTGCATTTACAACAACAACAGATAACCTTTGCACTGTTGGATTTTGTGGTACCACGGCTGCATGCTCAAAAATTCAGGGCGACTTGTACACATGTATTTCAACATGTAAGTATTCTTTATTTTTATGTTTATGTTTTTTATTATTCTATGTTATTTAAACATAACCTACATATATTAACCCCAAGTAAGTAAACTGTAAGTATTCGGTATGAATTTAACAGACGATTCTTTTTTTAAAAAAAATCGACTTCTTGACATCTCCTTTTGTAGATTTCTATGACAATTCCTCGGCATAGGTGACTAGCGTTTGTTTTCTATGTTCTCCGGTTTTATCTGTGAGTAACCCGTGTCCTGACTTAGATAAGCTCAAAAAGGCTATTTAAGGATTCTATCTGTGAGATAGCCGTGCCCTATCTTAGATCTACCCAGAGGTTGTTTCAGGGTTCTATCTGTGAGTTAGCCGTGCCCTATCTTAGATCAGCCCAGAGGTTGTTTCAGGGTTCAATCTGTGAGTTAGCCATG